CCACTTAAAAGGTACCTATTTAAACTGATGACCAACATTTCAAAGTAAATAATGGAGGCGAAAAAGGTTAGGGCTTTACCCTGAGAAATAAAAATCCGAATATTTTAACAACAATTGGGATATAATTGTGACTCTGGATTAGTCTTAAGGGCAAAGAAAGCCTCAATTGTTGATTTTGTGGAGACAAAAATTTTTTCTGACAAAACAAGATGATAGCACCATACAGCCTTTACTTCACATTTCACTTCTGCAGCACGAGGGGGCTTTTGTCGCAAAAATATTCACCATCGATCTCCAGCTTCTTGGACATTCCAATCAGCTTCCTGAGACTACAAACTGCAGAAAGGTTGCTGATCTGCACTGGAAGAGAGAGGACCAACACCCATGAAATCGCAGGTTGCAACAACTACAAGCTTCTGACTTCAGAGCCCTGGGAAATGAATATTCAGATAATGAGGATTCCCTGTATTTGAAAGGCTTTCCTTACATTGAGTAAAATTCTTTCTCCATGCAATTTCCACCAAATGCTTTTACATCTGCTTCCTGGATTCAAGCAAAACAAAGTGAATGAATGAAGCATTTACTAAGTGCTTACCACGTGCAAAGAATTTTGCTAAGTGCTGACAGTCCCTTCTCTCAACTAGGATTCCATTTCTACCTGATTGGATTTTGAATATTTGAAGATAGCTGTTATGCTTCTTCTCTAAACTAAATTTCCTCCAGTTCTTTCAACCACTCCATGTATGGTAGGTATGGCCTCCAGTCCCTTCACCTTGTTGGTTGTTTTCCTCTACACACATTCTAGCTTGTTAATGTCCCTCTTAAAATGTGCTTCCCATCGCTGGAATCCTACCTCCTCTCAAGCCTTCCCTAACTATCTCAGCTTAATAAAATAATGAAAGCTCACAATTATCTAATTGTTTTTAAATTACAAGGTGATTTCCTCAGAACTATCCTATCAGGTAAATAGTGAACATTCCCATTTTATAGATGAAAAAAAATGACTTAGAGAAGTTAATTGATTTGCCTAAAGTGACTCTGGAAGTAAGTATTAGAGCTGGGACCCAAATTCCAGGTCTCCTCCTACTAACCAGTAGTGTCAACCTCGAATAGAAATGGGGCTACTGAAAGCACAAAGGATCCCTGCCTGGTGTGTATCAACTTCGAAAACCACACATTAATATTATCTATGTTTTATTGTGTCTTTATTTATTTCATTAAATATTTCCCAATTACATTTTAATCTGGTTCTGGTCCTAATGGCTGCCTCTACGCTAAACCACATGATCTCCCCTTTGCTGTGGTACTTATATCTGAATCACCTTATAACACTTATCATATACTACTTTGTAATGTAGTTATATATAGTTATATGAGGCAGCTAGGTGGTGCAGTGGATAGAGTGCCAGGCCTGAAGTTAGAACAACCTGAGTTCAAATCCTGCCTCAGATACTTACTAGCTGTGTGACCCTGGACAAGTCACTTAACCCTATTTGCCTCAGTTCCTCATCTGTAAAATGAACAGGAGAAGGAAATGGCAAACCACTCCAGTATCTTTGCCAAGAAAACCCCAAAAGGGGTCAGAGAAAATCAAGCATGACTGAAACAACTCATCAACACACACACACACACACACACACACACACACACACACACACACACACATATGTATACACATATATTCTTCTCATTTTCCCAACTAAACTGTAAGCTTAAGGACAAAGACAAGGATTGTGTTATACTTTTTTCTTTGCATCCCCTACAACATTTAGTACATCTTTTATACAAGGACAGGGAATGGGCCTGTGATTTCATTGTTACAGGGAATCTGCCTAAAGGTGAGGAAACTCCCACTTTGATACCTTCTCTGAACCTTATAGGTTGAGACATTGGCCTAGAACACTGGGAGGTTAAATGAATTCACTTCCCAGGTGTCACAGAGTCGATATTTGTCAGAGGTTGTACTTGGACACACATCTTTGTGGCTTTCAGGCCAGTTCTCTTTCCCCTAGCTATGCTGTCTTTCGCAACTTGTTTATGACAGATTCTTAATGAATATTTGTTGAATGGATGAACCATATAAAATGCAGGACAATACCATTGAACTCCATTTAACTAAATAGGGGTGGATGGATTTGGGGCAGGAAGGGAGCACTACACCAAGGATTCTAAAGCATTTTATATCTGCTACTCAGCTAACGCTCACAATACTCCTGAGAACTCAGTAACAAATTTTAAAAATTCTTTAGTGAAGCTCCTCCTAGTCACACCCAACCTCTCCATTCTGAATCCACTGTAAAAGCTTTTTTTTTTTAACTGAGTAAAAAGTTTGCAATGTTTCCTTAGAACTGCCACTGAAGAGTGCTGGTATAGCGGTTTGGGTGCTTACCTTAGATGCTTATTGACTTATGTTGAGCAAGGAATTTACCAAATTTTTCAGAGCCTCCATTTCTCCATGGGGATAATAATATATTATAATGTTATACTGTGTCATGAAGTATTTTGTTTTAATTAGACCCGCAATTTTATCAGTATAAGGAGGTCCCAGTGAGGGACTTCCTTTACCAATTGCAGACCAGTACCTTCTCTGCAACTTGGAGGTCATAGAAAGTTCCCTGGGGGCACCAAAGGAGGAAGTGATTTGCTTATACCCACAAAGCAATCCTAGAGGCCAGTTTTGTATCCCAAGCTGCTTCCCATGAAAATGTTTTGCAGGATTTAAAGTGATATACAATCACAAGTTGTTATTACTATTATATGATGGAGACCTATGGTAAACTAACTTTTTAAATGAGGAAATACTACTTACTGGCATCCATTTATTTTATAGTTTATAGTATATGTGGTATGTGAAAAAAACAACTGCATTTCTCTTTAAATAATATATGGTTTTATTAATTTGGATAAAATCTCCATGTATTTCAAATCAATTAGATTTTTACTATATTGAATTACCTCCACTGTTTTGAATAAGTGGTGAGTTTAAGGCCCACAGGAGTAATGTGATTTACCTAAACTCACATAAGTTAGGAGTGTACTCAAGCACAGAAATCACACTCTAGAGCTGGGAGGACTTCAAGTCAGTTGTGCCCAACTCTTTGTGACCCCCTATTTGGGGTTTTCTTGACAAAGACATTACAGCAGTTTGCCATTCCTTTCTCCAGCTCATTTTACTGTTGAGGAAACTAGGGCTAAGTGATTTGCCCAGGGTCACACAGCTAATAAGTGTCTAAGGCCAGATTTGAACTCAGGAAGTTATCGTCCTGATTCCAGGCCTGGCCCGTTATCCACTTGCCACCTAGCTGCCCATCCAAGGTGTTTATTCTTATTCAATTCAACAACCATTTAATGAGAGGCTCCTGTGTTTTACACCATGAAATCACAGATCCTTGATATATTGACTATATGCTAATACTGTGTTAGACTCTTCAGTGATATAAGGCAGATACCCTGAGCCTACCCTTGGGACTTTATCACAAGGTAGAGATACACACACACACACACACACACACACACACACACACACACACACACACAACTATAATCCAAAGTGGAATTGTATAGGTTCCTGATACATATAAATAAAGTTCTTGGAGAGGTCAGAAAAGTAAGGGATCACTCTCTAGGAGGATAAAAGAAGGCTTCATGGAAAAGGAATTCAGATACATTACAGACATGGAAGTATAAATGCTCACCATAAACTTGTACCTTTACAATACATATAAATACTCCAAGGAGGCTGGCTAAGTGACCTAACTAAGAAGTGGAAAGTGGAGCTTTTGGTTCCAAATCTAGTCTCTATCTCCATAAGTTTCATTTTCCAAAACTGAAATAATACTGAATTTGGTGTTTTCTTCATAAAACAGGTGTAAAAATTTTTTCCAATTATTTGATACCAATGATTTAACAATTATTTATTTCATGTATGAGAGAATTGTGTGAATAAATGATTTCTGACACCTTGTATTGTATTTCATGCATTTGCTCTACATAAGTATCAAAGATAATGCAGACTTCTTTTTTACTTAAACCTTTTCTTCTGCTTTCTATTGTATATTTGCCATTATTTGAAGGCATGAGTATGACTTTATTCTTTATTTTTTCCCCTTTTGTTGCCAATTTTACTACAAGACTTCTGTAACTCATTTGTCTAGGATCTGTCTTGCTAGTGAACTCACTGGGTGGGCTGAATTGCTATGGTAAGTCAGAAGGATTGTAAGGAATTCCTTCTATATGTTGCTAAGAAGTATTGCTAATTTCCTCTCAATGCCAAATGGAATGTCAAAGCCTTAACTTTTTCTTGATACATAGAGGAGAGAGCCTTGAGAGAGCCTTGACTTACCGGTACCAGTGATTTTGTTTGTATCAATTACATTAACATTGCAATTCTTTACTGCTGAATGTTGCACCTAATTGTTCCTTTAATAAGTTAAACAAATGTGTGCTGTTCTTATTTCAACTATTTCTGCCAGTAACTGCTGGAAGTTATTTAATGCAGCTGGAAACAAATGCTGACAATCACTCTAGCTTGAAAAGTGTGAAATAATTTCATTTCATTGTTGTGGTCTATGTAGTCTAAGAATGGATTTCAGCTGATGACACTTGGGGGAAAAAAACTTCTTTTTAATTAGGGGCATAGTAGAAAAGCGAACACACTATAGGGTGAGTTGTAGGGCATATGCCCCTTATTTATGTTATGAACTCTTCTTAGGAATTTTTTTTTAAATATAAGAACTTGAGTCGTGTGATTGAGATAGATACTTTAACCTGAAAGTGATTGTTTTTTGCCTACATTCAGAGACTTTTCTTTTTCATTTGATAAAATCCCATTAGCAGCAGATGTAACTTATTTGTTGGGGGGCGGGGCGGCAGAAGGGAAATGAAGGAAGAGAATAAAGAGGCAGTGATGTATCTGGGCGAATGGTCATTCTTTGAGGCTCGTCGGCACCTTTTCTCTCTTTCTGCATCCAAGGGAGCTGCTCCCCACCTTAAAGTGCGGGATGCCTTCACCCGTTCCTCTGACACGTTTCTTTCCCAGAGAGTTTTCTCCCTCGGTGTACTTGCGGCCCTGCAGCAGCCCCCTGGAGCTTCCGGGGAACGGGGGGAAACTCTTTTTAGAGGGCACTCCTTCCCCAAGGGCTCGGCGACTGCCCCAGAGGCTGGCCTGGTGCTCCATTGACTGGGAGCAGATACGTTTTCTGCAGAAGCTAGGGACTGGGGGGTTTGGCTCTGTCTATAAGGGCACCTACCGAGGGCTTACCGTCGCGATAAAGCAAGTGAAGAAGTGCAGCAAGAACCGGCTAGCTTCCCGACAGAGCTTCTGGGCCGAGCTCAATGTCGCCAGACTGTGCCATAAAAATGTGGTGCGCGTCCTGGCCGCCAGCACTTGCACTCCTGCGGGTTACAACAGCCTGGGGACCATCATTATGGAGTATGGTGGCCACACGACCCTGCACGACGTCATCTATGGGGCTAGCTCCGCACTCGACGACCAGGAGCACAGAATCGAGGAGCCCTTGGATCTGGGAAGATGCCTCCAGTATTCCCTCGATGTGGTCAATGGCCTTCTTTTCCTCCACTCTCAAGGCGTCGTCCACTTGGATCTCAAGCCGGCCAACATCTTGATCGGGGAGCAAGAGGTCTGCAAAATTGGGGACTTTGGGTGTTCTCAAAGGATAGAAGATCTGCTGAGCTTGAGCGCCCACCATTGCCACTTGGGCGGTACATACACACATCGGGCGCCAGAGATTCTCAAAGGAGAGACAGTGACTGGCAAAGCAGACATCTATTCTTTTGCCATCACTCTCTGGCAAATGGTCACAAAGGAAATGCCTTATTCTGGTGACCACCAATACATACTGTATGCGGTGGTGGCCTATAACCTCCGGCCACCACTCACATTCTCTGTCTTCACTGACTCCATACCTGGCCGAAGATTGGAACGTATTATCCGATGCTGCTGGACCGCTGACACATTGGTCAGACCCAGCTCAGACTTGCTCCTGGGCGATCTTAATTCCTTGCACGCTTACTTGGCAGACTTGAATGCTAGAAGTTAAGTCAACAAAAAGCTTTTCTATGTGTCTATTTTTTTCTGTGTTTTCTCTTTCTCTTCACTTGCTTCCATGTGGAGAGTTGGAAATTTGTGGGTTTTTTTTTAAAGTATTTCTTGATTGTTATGAGAAACTTTTTAGAAAATAAAGTGACGGTGAACTGTCATGGGTCTCATTTAAATGAGATTAAGTGCAGAGTTCCAAGTTCTGTAATTAAAACCTACTTCTAATTAGAAACTAACCTCTGAGCATTATGTCATTTTGAACTGGCTTTCTGTTGCTGCTTTAATTTCAAAGCTCTTTAGGATTGCACACATACAAACTTACAACTTGTGAAGCTGACAAAATTTGCTTTTATGAAATAGAACCCAGTTGCAGACATTCAGCTGCCAACTCAAATGCAGGCTATTTTTTTTTTTAAGAAATGCACTATGCATATATTCATGTAGTTATTTTGCACTTATACCTTATCCATTAAATCCACACTGGGTCACTTTCTGATTAGATATACTATTTCTCATAGTAGACTGGAACATAGGTATTCAATAAATGTTTATGTGACCTGAGAAAACCAAGGCACAGAGCTGAGTGATTTGTCTTGGGTCACATTCTTAGCAGTAAAACAGACTAGAATTTGTTTCCTAATTTCTAACTATTAGTCTCATGTTTTAAACGTTTATGAGACATTTATCATCTAAGTATATAATAGCTAACAGCCAACCTTAACATAGCATTTACTATGTCCCAGGCACTGTGCTAAGCACTTGTCATCTATTTGATCCTCACAGCAACCCTGGGAGGAAGGTGCCATTATTATTCCCATTTTACAGATGAACAGACTGAGGCAAATAGATGTAAAGTGACTTGCACAGAGTTACACAGCTAGTAAGTGTCTGAAGTCACATTTGAATTAGGGTCTTACCAACTCCAGACCCCAATACTCTATGCATTATTGTGTCACCTAGCTGTGCCAAAAAATAAAGCAAGCAAACACCCATCTTTCTCACCTTCATATTTAAAAAAAAAAAAAGATAGTCACTGAGTATTCACTGATGAATAGACTTTATCTACATCAATTCTTTTTTTGGAGTTTGCCTTCCTTGCTTTATTTTTAAAATAGTTCTTAGTGACTCATTTTTTCTTTTTGCATCACTGTCACTACCACATGATCCCCCTCCCCATAAGAGATAAGTCTAGTAATCAACACATTAGCCATGTCTGAAAGTAAGTACCAGGTGCGGTAGCCTCGAATGCTTTTTGTACTATGAACATTGGTGGAATGTATCAGTAAAATTAAATGTATTCATCAGTGAATATTCAGTGAAAATTTATCATTTTTTAAAAATATGAAGGGAAGTGAGATTTATTTTGCAGTCCAGTAATGTACAATGGTTTTGATCATGCACCCCTATTGGTTTAAATAAAAAGCTTCAGGGTATACCAATAAATTTACATTTATAAAGTACATATATGTTCATTGCTTTATATGCTATATTTTACAAAACATGATGATAGAAACCAAAAAGGAGATAGAGATGAAATAAGTATTTATTTTTAAATTGTATTAATAGTACAAAAGTCTTCTTTTGTTGTTCTCACTGAAAATATTCTGAATAAAAAGTTTTAGAGAGAGAAGCTTCCTATTGCTTCTAGAATCAAATACAAAATGCTGTTTGGCATTTGAAGCCCTTCACAACCTCGCCCCTCCTACCTTTCCCATTTTCTTATACCTTAATGCCTGACTTGTACTCCTCCACCCAGTGACAAGGAGTTCCCTGATGTTGTATAATCAAGGCATTCTGAGCTCTGGACATATTCTCTGGCTGTCCCCCATGTCTGGAATGTTCTCCCTTCCTAACCTCCCTGGCTTCCTTTAAGTTCCAATGAAAATCCCACCTTCTGCAGGAAGTCTTCCTTTACCCCTTTTAATTCCAGTGATTTCCCTCTTTTAATTATTTCCTATTTATCCTCTATACAGCCTGCTTTGTATATTTGTATCTTGTCTCCCCCCATTAGATTGTAAGCTCCTCGAGGGCAATAACTGGTTTTTTGCCTCTTTTTGCATCCCCAGTGCTTAGCATGGTGTCTGGCACATAGGAGGTGCTTAATAAATGTTTAACGATTGATTGAATAGGCTTCATTATTTTCCTTGAGGTATATTCCTAGCAATGGTATAACTGGTTCAAAGAGAATATATAGCTTTGTGACTTTAAAAAAAAAATCCCTGTAATTCCAAATTGTTTTCCATAACTGTTAGACCAATTCACAGCTCCAGCGTGATATAGTGCAATGTTTATCAAAGTGTGCTCTGGGGACTCCTGGAGACCTGAGAGATTTTCAGGAGATCAGCAAGGTCAAACTATAAGGCATTTTAATTTCTAATATAGTAAATATCAGTAGATAAAAACAACATAAGCAAAAGGTCTTGGGTGGGGTGTCCTCAATTATGTTAAAGAGTGTAACAAATGCAGTCCTGAGACCAAAAAATTGGAGGATCACCAGTAGATACAGGATAATAGTACATTGGTTCAAATATCAACTATAATACTATCACTGTGACTCTGGGAAAGGCCTCTAACCTCTGGATTTCAGATTCTCATGTTTAATATGAGGGTAAGGCTCAGTGACTTTTAAGGCCCCTTCCAGCTCTAAATCTGTGATCTTATGATCCCTCCAACATTCACTATTTTTGTCTCCTGTTATCTTTGCCAATTTGATTTTTCCCTTTCCATGTTGCCCTTGACATTCATTTTAAACTAACTTCACCTATATGCAAATGTTGAGGTTTGAAGAAGACATGGGAAGACAAGGCATTGCTTATAGGCCCACTGAAGCATGGAGCCCATAATATGGGCGCTCTAACCCCAAAGTGTGGATTTCTAAAAGAACCCAACCCCAAGATTTTTTAAATTTGGTCATAACATCCCAATCTTTAACCTGTAGCAAGCTATTTTTTTTGGGGGGGAGGTTAGGCAATGGGGTTAAGTGACTCGCCCAGGGTCACACAAGCTAGTAAGTGTTATGTGTCTGAGGCCGGAGTTGAACTCAGATCCTCTTGAATCCAGGGCTGGTTCTCTATCTATTGTGCCACCTAGCTGCCCTAGCAAGCTATTTTTAAAAAATTGTATGTACAACTGGAATATGTTGAATCTTGAAAGTATTTCAAAAGGACTTCTCTGATCAAGATACTCGGTACACAAAGATGATTAAATGAACCCTTATTAGCTGTTTTGTACTAATGTTCATCTTTTACTAATATTCAGAGGTACTGAGGGGTTTCATAAAAAGAGGGGAGGTGATGTTATATGGTACCCTGGCAAGGATGTGTGAGATATTAAGAGGACTTCCAGCTGACCAGCATCAACTATTTTCCTATTTGGTCTTTGGTGAAATTATATTTGTTTTCTTTAATACTGACATAGTTGTTGCTTTTTACTTATTAGATATAATAGAAAATAGAGTGAAATAAATTTAATCTCTCACTTTTTGAACTTTATATAGTTACCTTAAAGGAATATTTTAAAGCTCCACATTTAGTTAAGGAACATATTTTCTTTGAATACCACTGGAATATATTCTATGCATAATAAGATCCAAGTGTTGATTATAGCACCAGTGAAAAGAATCTGAAAATACTTCAGTCTTCACTTTTTTAATTTAGGAAGAAGGAAAACAGCCTTTTTCCTTCTTAAATTTGCATTTTTGATTATGTACTTCTGTTATACACTAGGTCAGTTTCTAATGGAAGAAATGAAACAATTTGAAGTAATGGCAATATTTAAATTCATTGAAATCTCAAGGGATCTTGGATTTAATGCTTTTTTTTTCTCTCCTTTCCCCTCATCCACAGTGGACCTAGGAGGAAAAGGACTAGGACACATGTACTTTTGAGGACATATGGATTACATGTTCTGAGTTAGCTAGACTTGGAGTGGGGAAGACCTGAATTCAAATCTGGCCTTTGGCATTTACCAACTGTATGACTTTGAGGAGGTCATGTAACCTCTTTTTGCTTCTGTTTCCTCTTTTTTCAAAATTTCATTTCTAATAGCATCTCCTTCTAAGGGGAGATAACATAGGTAAAAAATTTTGAGAATCTGAAAGCACCTATAGAATGATGATAATGATAGTGGTGATGATGATGATGATGATGATGACAATGATGAAATGGATAGAGTTCTGGGGCTGGAGTCAGGAAGTCCTGAGTTCAAATCTAGCCTCAGACACTTACTGTGACCCTGGACAAGTCACTTAACCCTGTTTGCCTCAGTTTCCTCATCTACAAAATGAACCAGAGAAGGAAATGGCAAACCACTCCAGTATCTTTGCCAAGAAAGCCCCAAATAGGCTCAGGAAGAGTTGGACACAAATGAAATGACTGAACAATTGTTATTGATGGAGAAAGTATCACCTGAGCTTTGAAGAAAGACAATGAATTAGAAAGAAGAGATAAGGAGGGAACATCCCTCCCCCAAGCATAGAGGACAGCAAATGTATGTAGAAGAGGAAAGTGACAAGTTCATTATGGGGAATATCTGCTTGTCCAGTTTCTCTACAACACAGACAATGTGAATCAATCTGAAACGTAGGCTGGAGCTATACTGTGGAGGGGCTTAGATGCAAGGCTAAAGGGTTTATATTTTCCTAAAGATAATAAGTGCCACTGAAGATTTTTGAGTAGGAAAAGTCACTTTGAAGTACAAACCTGAGATACTGGGAGGATGGTGATGCCCTTGACAAAAACAAGGATGCTTAGAGTCAGAGTAGATTTAGGAGATGAAGATGAGGTACCTTTAAAGCATTTAAGTGAAAGTGCCCAGTATGTAGTTAGAGCTATGGGATTAGAGATTAGGGGAGACTGGATATGGAACGAGTACAGAACATTTCAAAGACAGACTTACTTGATGGGCAGATTAGGCTAGCCAAGCTTGCTGTTTCCCTGCCTTCCCCCTTTCATTTTTATTCTTTGTTACAAAGGATAGCTCTCTGGGCAGGGGAAGAGGAAG